GGCTCACGAGTAGGCCTGCGCCGGCGAAATAAAGCGTAAAATTCCGTGCCTCGGTGGCACTTGCGCATTTCGTGCTCCGTGGCCACGCGAAGCCGGGGCAGCGGGGCGGACGGAGCGGACACCGCACGGCCCCATCAGGGCACAAGTATCTCTTCACCAGCGCCCTTCGCGAAGGATGCTTACGAGGGGACGGAAAGAGCTTCGCCCGCATCGGTGTCCTGGGGCCTGGAGGAGGAGGGAGGGCGCGAGCACGCGGCCAATGGGCTGGTTGGCGCGTGGTCCTCGCGGACGCCGAGTTGGGGACCGAACTCGAAGACCCAGTTTCTTCATCAGAAAGATGTCCATCGCAATCACTGTCTATACCGCACACCAGGGCAACTCCAATACACAGGCCGGGCTCCATGGCTCACCCTGTAATCCCAGCAGTCTGGGAGGCCGAGGCGGATGGATGGCCTGAGCCCGCGGGTTCGAGACCAGCCCAGGCCACTTGGCGAGCTCTCATTTCTACGACAAATAAAAAAATTAGCCAGGAGCGGTAGCGCACACCTGTCGTTCCGACTACTTGGAAGGCTGAGGCGGAAGGATTGCCGGAGCCCAGCAGGTCGACGCTGGGGTGGCTGTGAGTGTGCCACTGCACTCCAGCCTGGGTGACAGAGTGAGACTCCGACTCAAAGAAGAGAAATAAATAAGCTGGACACGGTGGCTCACACCTGCAATCCCAGCACTCTGGGAGGCCGCAGCAAGAGCTGAGGGGCTTGAGGCCAGCCTGGGCAACTTAGTGAGACCTCATCTCTACAAAAAAATGTAAATACTTTGCCCCAGGCGTGGTGTGCACGCCCTGTAGTCCCAGCTACCCCGGAGACTGAGGCAGAAGGATCAGCTGAGATCAGAAGGTCAAGGCTGCGGTGAGCCCTGATCCTGCCATTGCACTTCAGTCTGGGTGGCAGGGTGAGATCCTGTCTCAAAATAACAATAACAATAATAAAAATAATAATACCTGCAAGGCCGGATGCGGTGGCTCACGCCTAGAATCCCAGCACTTTGGGAGGTCGAAGTGAAAGCATTGCCTGAACCCATGAGTTTGAGGCCAGTCTGGGCAACTGGGTGAGTCCTCATCTCTACAAAAAATCAAAAAATCAGACCAGCCTGGTGGCGCTAGAC